CCTGATTGGGTCAATTAGATGGTATAACTAGTTGATAACATTAGCTGATTCTAGAAAGGTGTTTGATAAATTAGCTGATAGATGTTTGGTATAATTTCTTTTCTCAAAAAGCTAATTTGAAAAAGTTGTTTTAAATAGCTTTTTTAATTTTAACATTTTGAAATACAAAAAGCTAATTAATCAAACACTTATATTGATTTTTAAACCAAGTCAAACAACTAATAATGGTCAAATAAGTCAAAATTGATCAATAGGCTAACTATTTTACTAAACAGGACCTAAGTATTTTATTTTCTACATGGAAGAAAAGATACCATATATAATTCATTATTTGGTAGATAAAGAATTTATTAAGTATTTTATTTTCTACATGGGAGAAAAGATACAATATAATTCATATATTGCCTCACATATTTTTATTATTTAAGGGCATTTACTTTGAGTCCTATTACTGAGTATTCTCAATAACTTATTTTTCACAAACCAAACAATAGTTCAATAGTTCATGAAATTTAATTTCAGATTCTTCTCAATTCTTTTCCACGAACAAAATGGGTTGGTTAATATAATCTCTCAATTGTTGTTCTGTGTGCAATTTAGTCCTCTATATTCAATTTTTAGAGATTCGGTCACTCAATTGTTCCAATGTTGTTAATCTGCTCCCTTAGTTAACAGATCATAAACATTCTGTTGGTTGCAGAGTTTTACATAGTTTTTTGATTGTTTGTTTGTTCTTTCTTTTTTTTTTTACAATTTCACACTCAGCTCCCAAGGCTATTAAACTAAATTATTACATAATAAGCAATAATTTAGGGACAAAATGGAATGTTCTCTTTTTGGATTGATAATGTAAAGTGAGGATCTGAGGTATATATGTGTGGCTGTAAAAAATTAAATGAGATATAATCTTATTTGATTCTCAGGTCTAATCATCAATATCCGCACATAAGCACAAGGGATATGCCATATCTGAGGTCCTTTCATGAAATCATCCCACTACACCATCACTTCCAGCTGCATAGTAATTTTTTGCAGATTCAGAAAAACCTGCACATCCATAACCAGAAAGAGCTTGCTGGAAATTATAAAACAATCAAGAAAAGTGTGATGGATGGCCATTTCTTGTAGTTTATGAGAACCAATTCACCTCTAGATGACAAAGAAAACATGTAGTCGAACCCATAACCTTTGGTCTGGCTCTGATATTTGAAGCATGTTCCATCTCAACTAAAAACCTAAGCTGATAGTTGGATTGCACATTAATAGTTATATGTTCAACAGTAGGTAATCACGTCTTGTGACCCTAACTGTCAAAAGATCACAAAGAGGCAAGCCAGCTAACCACCGGCTCAAACTAAGAAGGCTAATAGGCCGTTCTCAGAGTGAATCGAACTTGAAAACTTGTGGTTATCAAGTTAATAGTTTGAACAACTTGGTTGGGTGGTCCCGATTCACCTCTATTTAACTCCATATGAAGTTAATTGCATGCAACTATACATATCCATGGCTCCTTAACTCCTTTCAGAAGCTATACTAAACCTATAGCTACCTGCAGATTATCCAAGAATTGAAGAAACATATATATGAAGTCATCTGTATATATCCTCCATGTTCATATATCAGGTGAAAACAGTGCAAGAATGAAGAACCCTATTTGATCATTAAACTATGTCCTGCTAGACAAAGTTCCTTAAAAGTCCATCCAAGAATGTTCCAACTAACCAGTATGTGATGAAACTCCTGAAACCTCAATCTCCTGTTATCAATTTCAAAAACCATTTTCTGATAATATGCTTGAAGCATAAAACCATACAAGCTAGGTTTGATTAGATGAGATAAGCAGATCATTATTGTTTTAATTACCTTTCAGCCATAGCCATCCACCATGATTGAGTAGCAATAAACCTCTTTGCATTGTTAGTTAGGAAGAGGTAATCTGCTTCCTGTGGCCTAGAATCTGGTGAAAATTAAACACTGATCTAGACCTCAGGATGCAGATTACCCTACCCTAACACAATATAAGCCACACGATCGAAAACGAACCAAGGGGGTGGGTTTGATGGGAAAGCAATGAAATTAAAACACAGATAGGTATATATGTAGCTAAGCTGATGATAAGTTTGTGCATGAAGGGAGAGGGGTATTTATAGTGCACCAAAAGGTTAGCAAATAAAAAAAAAAAATTCTCTTGTGATATTATTAAATGGTGTTGTCACCTTGAAGGCTGGAATTGAATAATGGTTGATTCTATACTATTTCCCCTGAGCCAATGATAAGATGGGGAACCTTTTCTTCTTTTATTTATTTTCCTAAGATAGACGATGATGTTTCTCCTCCCTTGACTGCTTTCTCAACAGGAACATTAGACCACAACAGACTGGTTTTACCTGGCAAACATGGAAAAAGGGGCAGGAAACAAAATCATATCCCAGAATTCTGTGTTTAAGAATCCTGGGTTGGTTTCTTCGGTTGATCAGAGTTACACGTGGGATTCTGATCTCCTTCCCAGACCCTATATGATTATAATAATCTTAATCAATATCACTGGCCATTATATTGAAAGCAACATTACTGGCCTATACTAGTGGGGCTAATCTCTTTGGAAAATGATTGAAAGGAAATTTATTTGTGTCTGTATTCTATCTATCTGGGTTAGTAGGTATGCTATCGCAATCATGGTACAGGTTAAAGAATTGTAGCAAATGAATATTTCTGTGTGTGATTATACACACTTAACTCAAATCACTAACACCAGGGATATGAATAATATATGCATGATCGATACTTAGCTTGAACGAGTTTAACTTTATACTTTATATATGGAAGAAGAATTCAGTAGTTATGAGCAACCTAGTATTGCTTAGACACGGGGATATGCCAAGTATTAGATGGTTATGACCTTAGAACAGAAGTGAAGAAAAATTATAACAAATTGTTTGGGGCGGGTGATAACTATCTAAATTTTCTTCTCGTGAACTTGATTGAGTGTTAAGATTCGAATGATTTCAGCATTACTAAATGACGTTTATGCTGCAAAGACTGAGTGGCCTATGATTTTTTAATGATCGAGGTAAATTAGAATGACCTATTATTATCCCGAACTCATTAGGTTAAGCCAAATTAATAAGGTACGAGTTATAACTCTATGAGCATCATCTAAATTGAATTGTAGTATAAAAGTAATGACTTTAGCGATACTGAATGGCTTAGGCTAACTCAACTTACCATAGGCTAAATGACCTTTATGTTGCAAAGACTAGGTGACATGTAGTTCTCGAATGACCGGTGTGCTGCAAAGATCAAGTGACCTATAATTTTTGAATGATCGGGATGAATTAGAATGACGTTTTATCCCTGGCTCATTAGGTTAGGTTCAATTAAGGCACGGGTTATAACTTTAGGACTCTAGGAGTATCATCTAAACTGAATCATAGTATAAAAGTAAGCAGTTGAGAGATGAACGGTAAAATTTAGAAGGGTTAAAATTACCCGTTTAAATTGAGAATGTGAGAATATTATCAGGTTTATTCTCCTCCAGCTACATACCGACAGCAGCATGCCTTAAATAGTGTTAATCCATTCATTAAAAAAATTGCTATATATATTACAGTACACAATACACAACATATATGGAAATAATGACATTTGGGATGCTTATGCAGACAAGGACTAACGAAAACGACTAATTGCGCTATGATTCGATTATATATCGTTTAAAAAATCATGGCTGCTAACCGTCCATTTAGGAATATCCTCTCAAACTTGTCCACATTTGCTCCAACAAAACTCCTCAACAGAAGCAGCTGCTAAGTATCAGGAAAAAAAAACATTTCTGAAACATGACAAACTAATCAGTTTTCATGCATCAAACTAAAAATGTGAAGTGCAGAATGTAAATAGCAATAGTAAGCTGCTTTCAATCTGGCCCAGAAAGGCAGAAATTATAGGAATTAAATCGAAGAATTTCATTGTCAATACAAAGCTGAAGAAAATTGATCTCCTAACAAAATTTGTCTAAAGTAGCTTCAGGAAAAACAAAATACTATAATACAGCAATCAGGAACAAAATAAACGGGGCCGAATGCAGAAGGTATCCAGGACCAACATTTCAACTAGAAATGCATTTGATGTGAGACCACGCTTGACACTTTAATAGTCTATACAACAAAAGTTAGTTGGTAACATATACTCCGTAATAGTTACCACCGCGTGATAGTTATAATTACCTATTAAACTTTTCTAACTAGCAAGCTTTGTAAGACAAAACTGATCCTTGTAGGACCTCTCCAGCATGGGGAGTAAGCCGTAAAACCATTTGTTGAAAGATGAGTTGGACATAGTTGAAGGGTGAGTTGGACATTAGTTGAAGGGTGATTCAGATAGAAGTTTCTTCAGCGTCTCGTATGTCATGAATACAATTCCCATGCCAGGTACAACTTTGTAGTACTCGGGCATAATGCCTCTATAAAACCCACAAAAGCCTTCTGTTTGAATTATGTGCCTAAATGCCCCGAGTAAGCCAGTGTTATACACACGCGCTCGACCACCAGCCCCTTCCAATTGCATTCTTCGCCTTACAAGGTCCAAAGGGAATGTTGCTACAGAAAGGTAAGGAATGGGACAAATTAGGCATGTTATACTGTATCTCAGATCCAGATTTCGTAACATAATTAGGCGAGTAAATGGCAACTATTAATCAGAGCATACCAGTAGATGATGCAATTCCAGAAAGACTTCCACAAGTAAGACTGATGAGAACAGTGGGATCATCAGGCCTGAGAAAGAGAAGTCAGTTAAGCCATAAACATAAAGGAAAGAAGACATGCATATGATGATTTAATGAACCGGATGATGATTGAAAGCTATACACTCACCTGTGAGCTAGCCAATAAGATCTCAAAGATTCATAAACAGAGAAACTTATTGCGATACTAGGTCCAACACCCTGCATCAAGCAAAATAACCATTTAGCATTTCAATGCATGGAGTGGTACTCATTTTATCAAAATATAAATACACAAATAAAACCAAAGAAGATGGCAAATCCATATCTATCAGAAACCAAAAATACAAAATTAAATGGCAAGCAAAGCGATTACCAATAATGTTGCTCCAAGTCCTTTATACAGCCCAAAGAAGCCTTCGTCTCTGCAAATGGTACGAACAGCATGGGTAATGCCCTGATAATACATGGCACTCCTCTACAAAGTTATGAGAGAATTAGTTAAACAAAATGCTCACGGGCAAGAAACAAGGGATGAATGGTAAATACAGACAACAATAAAAGTAATCAACACCAAAGCTGCTCAAAGGTGTCTCAGAAGCCCATCACAAATAATAAGCTATTTATGTACACGGCAATGTAGAACTGAAGAATTTCAAAGTGTCTCAATAGATTCAAGGTGTCACAGTATGATGCAAATCCAAGAAGTTGACAATATTTTTGTCTTACAATGTCTAAATAGTCTATGTTTTCCATCCACATGAATAAATAAAAGAACCAAGCTATAACATAAATCATAAAGCTATAATTATACCTGTGCTGCCAACCTTGTCCTAACAAGATCCAATGGGTAGGTGGCAGAAGCAGCTGTCATTCCAGCTAACCCACCACCTACAAAATGCACAAATACATCTGCACTCGCATTTCCCTGATTACCATCCAGGCCAGGAATAGATTTCAAGATCTGCCAAACAGAACAATTTGAGTGGGATGGCATAAGGGTAATGGATTAATTTTGCTTCGCTGTGTTGGTGCAAATATGGTGTGTTTTACTCACTTTCTTGTAGTATTCATAAGTATAAAAATTGACTGAAGAATAGGGGAGCCTATGAGCAATAGTGACAAGGTTTCCCTTCCAAAATGCTCTGAATCCTTCTTCATTAACAATCCGCAAAGCCTCACGGCATATACTTGGCTTGCTCAACACTGCTACGTCTGAATGCATGCCTTGGACCTAAGATTTTAGAATTTATAAAGAACACAACATATGTCAGAGGAGCAATGTTAATGATCTAAGCAAGTGGAAGTTTAAAGTCCCATTATAAAATTTGTTAACGATATAGCAGTCTAGCACCAGACAGAAACAGAGATAATCAACTACAATAAACAACTAGAAATTTGTTGTATACAATTACACATCCAAAGCGTTAGGTTCTATAACAAAAACTTCATATATCAGTACTTTATAACAAGGAGAGAGAGACGAGATAGGCGCTAACTATTAACCTGAAATAGAATGGTGAGGCGAGCTAGAGGAGCAGTACAGGTCTTGCTGAAAGCTCCGGCAATACCGCCGGCGAGAAGCTGCGGCACAGTCCCAATTTGCGTCTGCGGATTCTGAGGCTGCTGTTGCTGCTGCGTGTGGAAGTGATGATATTTCTGACGCTGGTGGTGGTGCTGCGGCAGAAACGACCCGGGGCCGCCGTCAACTACGGCGCCGCCGCGACCAGACATTCCTACTCTGGCTTCCATCGTCTTTTTGCACTATAAAATTTGAAAATTTGTAGAAACTTCACATTTGATCTTCGCTGAGAATTTCGTTTCCGGGTGCAGGGAAGTTAAACCCTAGGGAAAACCCTAAGGAGGTTTTGTTAAATGCTCTTTACCAGTTCTAAATACGAGACATTCAGACATCTTGCCGAATATTCTTTTTTCTTTTTTTCTTTTTTTCTTTTTTTTTTATGATCTTTTCTTCTTGGTGGACCTTGGTTAATAAAGCCACGTTCAGGCCTAAATGTTCATATTTGGGCCATCGACCTGTTGGGCCTACAACGTATAATTTATTTTGGGCCGGTAATTAACTCTTCAATCATTATATCATGGACTAGAATTCACCATGCACATTATACACAATCGTTATACCGTGCACCACGGTACACATAGCAATATGCACCCCGCTCCTCCCAAAATGATGTCGTTTTGTTAAGTTGTGTGGGGAGTTGACGCGACAGAGTGTATGTGTATTCTGTTATATAATTATGTACATTATGTTATACAATTATGTACATTTTTTTACACAATTATGTACATCCGAAACAGGGAATTTTTTTAACAGTTAAAAGTCTATGTGTATTATGTTAAGAGTTTATGTGTATTATCTATTATGTTAGATTATGTGTATTATCTTTTCAAAAAAGAATATGTGTATTCTTTTCAGCATGGATTTGATCTCCAGTATTCAAGCAATTAAGGTCTCCAACAACAGTTCCAAATATTGAAATATGTTGTCAGTGTCCATTCCTAACAACCTCAACCTGGATGTTGCTGCTAATTTTGGATAGTTTCTCAAATTTGCTACTCTGCTGAAATCACTAATGGTTAAAACACATATTACAAGAAAGATAGCAAGGAAAATACTTCCCAGGTGGAGTAGGTGAAGAAGACGTAGGTTACGGGGAGAGAAGGAAGTTTAATGGTTGAAAGTAATTGATAAATATAATCTCATGAAAACAAATATTAACACAATTTATAATTATATAACATTAGGGACTAAATGT